GGACAATATCTGCTAGCAATGGGTTTTGATCGTTACAAATATTGGAGGGTCCCACATCAATTAGAGAAAGGAACAAGTGCCAGCGAGGACGCTGGGTCCCGAAGGGAGGTGGATCGTGAGATCCCACATCGGTTGGAGTGGAGAACGAAACATTCTTTATAAGGGTGTGGAAACCTCTCCCTAGCAGATGCGTTTTATAAACCTTGAGGGGAAGTCCAAACGGGAAATCTTAGAGATGACAATATCTGCTAGCGGTGGGTTTGGGTCATTACAAATATTGGGGGGTTCCACATCGATTAAAGAAGGGAACAAGTGCCAGTGGACAATATCTGCTAGCAATGGGTTTTGATCGTTACAAATATTGGAGGGTCCCACATCAATTAGAGAAAGGAACAAGTGCCAGCGAGGACGCTGGGTCCCGAAGGGAGGTGGATCGTGAGATCCCACTTAGAGAAAGGAACAAGTGCCAGCGAGGACGCTGGGTCCCGAAGGGAGGTGGATCGTGAGATCCCACATCGGTTGGAGTGGAGAACGAAACATTCTTTATAAGGGTGTGGAAACCTCTCCCTAGCAGATGCGTTTTATAAACCTTGAGGGGAAGTCCAAACGGGAAATCTTAGAGATGACAATATCTGCTAGCGGTGGGTTTGGGTCATTACAAATATTGGGGGGTTCCACATCGATTAAAGAAGGGAACAAGTGCCAGTGGTGGGTTTGGGTCATTACAAATATTGGGGGGTTCCACATCGATTAAAGAAGGGAACAAGTGCCAGTGAGGATGCTGGGCCCAAAAAGGGGTGGATTGTGAGATCCGAAGCATTATTTATAAGGGTATAGAAACCTCTCATTGGCAGACAAAATTTAAAACCTTGAGGGGAAGCTTGAAAGTGGAAACCCAAATAGGACAATATCTGCTAGTGGTGGGCTTGGGCCGTTACCGTTCGAAATCATTTTGGACTATACAACCCCTAGTAAGATGAAAATTTAAGACTACCTTCAATTGATTAATGCATTTTCTCTTCAAAAAAGATTCATAGAGTTTAAGATAAGTTTTGTGTTAAATTTGTATAGAGGTATTGTGAAGTTATTGTGAATACTCTGAGAAAAATATTGAATATTGCAGCAACTGGATATACAGAGTATTATTTTGATGCTGGATCTGGAAAAGTAAGCAGGTAAGAATGAATACCCACTTTATTATAGGCAGACCTCTAAATCCATTGGTGTTTCTGAATCTTTGTTGCTAAAGAATCACCATTTCTCAGGCATGTAGAACACTGGAATGTTCCTAAAATGGCTTTACTGAACCAAATTTTGAGACCCACTCGAGCTTGGTTGTGGTTTAAGAAACCAGGTGCTGCCTGATTCTTCTTTCTCATTAAGAACACAGCTTAGATCATAAACCTTTTCTTGTCAATGTTTTAATTTGATCTAGAAATCATATTTTGTGGGGTAATGTAAGGAAATTATATGTAATAGAGAGTTTTTTTTTTTTTTTTTCTTTTTGTTTTTGTTTCATAAAGTATTTGTAATAGATAGAGATTTATACAGATGGAACATGGAAGAATGAGATAGTATACAGCAGGTTGATTGGTGCCTACCTTTTTCTCTGAGTGGAATCTGCCGATTGAGAATTTGAGTTATTAAAGTTTTTCTCTTTTTAAAAAAAAAATTATTCATTAAAAAAGTTAATGAATAACTTTTATTTGAGATTCAAACCATTCCACGTGAAAGATCGATCGTGTCAAATTTAAATGATTCTAAACATACATTCTAGAATTGTAAAGAAACTTAGCCATTGATTAAAAGAAAAGTAAGAACACGAATTACTTTGATCACATTTGTTTGGGATTCGAATCACTCTAGTAAAATTATAAAGAAACCGACTCTTACCGACTCTTGGCCAGATGGAAGAAAAAAGGTTATAGAGGGAAGAAAAAAGAAAAAAGAAAAAAAAAAAAGTTCTTTTTACTACATTTTTCAAGTCTTCACTACAAAGATAATATACAATAAAAAAAAATTGACGTTTGGTACTTTATTTAATCATTCATCGTAATTTGTAACTATATAAGAATAAATTAAAACCACATTGGAAGTATCTCGATTATTTTTTTTTTTAATGTGAAATTGATTGCAACTTGATTTTAATAAAACTTGACTTTATATTGTGATAATTTAAACAACATAGTAATTTCCTTATTCATTGTACGATTGAGATGTCTGTTAAAATTCATTGTATGATTGAGATGTCTTAATCCATATCAGTGTCCCTTACTTATATACCCATAATTTTCTCCTTAGTTAGTCACCTACACACCAACCATTCTCAACAATAGAATAAGTCCTTAGAATAGAATAAGTCAAGTAATTCAATCAAAATTTACGTTAAATAAGTTAGAATAAATTTTTAGAATAGAATAAATCAAGCCATTTATAATTATCTTCAAAATCATTATTCTAAAAAATTAAATGTGCCAAGCTAAACATTAAATTAATTTTAAAGAATTAAAAATGTGTTAAAAGTGATTCTAAACGTGAGTTTAACTATTTCAAAATCACTTTCAAACATGTCTAAATCATCGACCTTCACAACTTCAACCAACATTCAAAACAATTGTTCATCAAAGAAGCTTCTCCCTTTTTCTACTAGTTCAATAAACCCTAAATTTAACTTTATGCAAGGATTAAATTATTATGAATCATTGAATATAATTAAATCTAATATATTTATAAATGTCTCACCTAATTTTTTCAAAAAAATAAAAAAATAAAAAGAAAACTCAATTATTCAATTGGAAAAAGTTGGGAAAATGTGGACTTGTCAAAGGCGGCGACAGCTAAGAAGAGAATACCATAATTGAATACTCGGATAGACCCGTCCAAAGATAGTCAAATTACTCTTTTGCCCCTACCATTTCTAGCTTTTTTTTTTCTTTTTTTTTTTAATATATAGAAAATTTGAGTGATAAATTGAGTCGTAAATTTTCATTAAATATTTAAAAATAAATAAATAAATGTTTTTTTAACAATTTTTTATTTTTTAAAAAGTTTAAGATATTTAATTAAATTAAAGAAAGAAAAAACCCAAAATGGTCATTTAGAAAAGTATGGGAAAGGATTTTGTCAAAGAAACCCTAATAAACAATATCAAGTTGCCGAATGACGCGTTTGTTTTTTCTTCTTAGCATATTCCGTTTCAACTTTCCCAAAATACCCCTGCAAAATCACCATTTTAACCCAATCAAATCCCGCCACGTCATAACCCACGACTCCCCCTTCAGTCACCGATGAATAACATTATCAAAGTCTCCGTACCCTCGTTTTCTCGTACACCTTCTCTTTCTAGATCCACTGACATTCCCGGAAATTCCCAGAGCCCTTTCTTCAACCACTTGGTATTTATCGTTTCTTTTGGATGAATTTTTTTAGCATGGTAGCTCTTTTTCTGATGTTTTAGAGATCTTTTTTCGCTTTTCTAGTTGTTAGATTTTCTTTTCTTCTTTTCTTGTTCGATTTGGCGCTGGATGTTGAGGATTTGGATGCTGTTATCTGTTGGTTCATCAATTCGTAGATCTATCTCTTAGGTGAGTTCTTTTTGAGATATTTGTGTCTTTTTGTACTGTATTGTTTGATTTCTCGTAATATTAGGTTCAGATCTCCATGTTTTTTTTTTTCTTTTCTTTGAATTAGCTACTTTCTGTTGTCTGAGTGATTCTGGATGCGCTTCGCTTCTTGGATGTGTTTTTTCGAAGAAAGTTTCATGGATCTGTGAGGTTTACAATATGTATGTTATGTTTGCGGCTAAAAGGATAGATTAGTAGATGTGAAAACGGAGATCTGAAGACTTTGTATCTGAACGGCTCAGTTTCTATCCTTGGTTCTGTGTTATTCCATGAAAAGGATGTACTCTATGAGGTTCAATTTGATTTTTGTGGATTGGAAACCTCAGGAACACAACACAAGGCGAATTCAAGACAATTAGTCTTTTTTTTTTTTTTTTTTTTT